GGTGGCACATGGGCCGGATGCGTCACATGTAGGCAGGGGTGAAATAACAACCAGTTCGCTTCGCGTGTGTGTGCACCAAATGCACACATGCATACTACTTACAAATTACCGGGTCTGGCAAGCATTCACCTGCTCCAGTTGACGAGCGGCACTCAGCTGTGCCATGTAAAGCAGCTGAGGAGGAAAAAGCAGAGACTAAAGAACAGCCTAGAGCCTGGGCAGGCGAGTGCGCCAAACAGACGACCAGAAGATCATGGTTTGCTGCTCTTCGGAGCTACCGGTTCTATAGAACCGGGCCAAACTGGTAGAATCCCACCCCTGCATGTAGGCCACGGCCACCCCAGCTCCACGAAGGGAAAAAACATCATGATATGTCACATGATGGCAATGTGACACGGCGAGTTTGACACCCGTGATCTACGACCAGCAAAATAGTGGGGAACACCAGTCAAAACCTTCTCACAACCAACATTCACAAATTAGCTTTGCCTAGCTCACATTGCTCAATATTCAATTTATCAATTGATTCTTCATTTTAAATAATTTTGAAGCTTACTGCTCTTTACTCTGCCCAAGGATGAAGAAAGACCTTGTAGTTATCCAGCAAGATCCCTCTACAAAGAACCTGCTTAAAAAGATCAGGCAGCAGAAAAGGATAATTGCCAATGAATGGAAAACAGAAAGACAGCAGATTTGGTTTCTTATATTTTAACTATAATTTCAAAGTAGAAAGATCTGTTTTGCAGGGATAAACTTTTCTTGAATTAAATTAGAGAAAGGAAATGCCTTGAAAGCATGCAGAGCTTCAGTCCCATGGAAGCTTTGCTGAAGTTTCAAAGAAGATGCAAACATCCCAAAGGTGCTTTTTTAAAGAGGAAACTGGACTTTCTTGTTTTTCTTTGAAGATGTTTCGCTTCTCATCCAAGCTCTGACTTGGGGAATGGAAGGATTTATATTCCTTGCAGACAGCTGGTCATTTGCATTGTTTTAGAGAGTTGTTGAGGCCACTTGAATGATAACCATGAGCTGGATGACTGAGAATCTCCATAGACAAGGAGATGCAAACATTCACGTCACCATATGGCTGAAAATTTGAAAGTGGTTTTATTGAGGATTTAACGATTAA